AGCATCTGTACTGTGACATACACTGCCCACATCTGGAATCACAAACTTCATAATTCAGAACAAATCAGAAATATTTTATTTTTATATGCTTCCATACACATTGATATTATCTTTAGTTACTGCATATTGTGTGGCTAAGGCATCAGGTCATTGGAATATAATGTCTCAATATTCATTAAAGATTATATCATGCAATTATTGGTTGGGTATAGCTGGTTATTCACAAGCACATGGGCATGTACTTTGGCAAATGCTTCTTCCTTATTTCTGTGTTTACTGCCCCCTCAACAGATGGCCATTTGATGTAGTGGGTGGGGAGGTTTTGCATGCCTTTGTACTCAAATTGCAACAAACAAGAGGTTTATCAAAGACTAGTTACACGATTTGCCTAAGATTGAAGTTGTATGTGGTAGATGCATCATTTAAAGAGAAGTTACTGCCCAGCTATTCACTGAGGAATACACAAGCTCAAATACATATACATGTGATTTGGCTATTTCTTTGTATGTACTGTTGTGATTACTTTACATTCATGTGCTTCAACATGATAACCAAGCTACAATTCACCAGGTGGACTAAAGCTGCTGTGCTTAGGGAGGTACTGCATGGTCATGTAAAATCTAATTACTTCCAAGTGGTATTAGCATGGAATCATGCTCATACTGGGGGTGGTTTGAATTAACACAACAACAATTTACCAACTGCACAGCATCCACAACAGTCCACAAAAACTCAATACCCAATGTTCTTTACTAATGCCAGCAACCACAAGAACCTATTAGCAGAATTTGTTATCCTAACCTGTTTGATACATATTGCAGATTACATAAAAACAAGTCACAACCAATTATCCTTAGTTAATCCCATAAGATAGCACTCCTACTCATCCATCATTACCATCCATCATAGTTTCACTACTCCCAGAATACACAAGTTACTGGAAGAACTTTTCCCCCTAACTTGTTTGTTACAATTTGCAGGATCTAGATATAAGCTCATACTCTTGAGGCAGATGCAGGTTGCTTTTACTTCTGCAGCACAAGCTCATAAGACCCTACAACTGGAGCAATGCTTGAATAGTTACAACAACAGTCCAAAATTTAATAGACTAATCATCTGGTACTGCTACTGCTGCAAGAACATTGAAGCTAGAACTCACATCAATATGGATCAGTGTTGCTGCTATAACACATATTACTGCTACTCAGTTTGTTTTGAAGATGTTGACGTATTTCTTCTGCTTATGTTACTACTGCTACTCATATTTTTCAACAAATACAACATGGATTTTTCAACATGGAAGATCTCTATTTCTAAAAGATGCAAAAAAATAGAAAGATATATACACTTTGCTCTACACTATTGGATACACTGAAGGATAAAAATGTGGCTAAAATAGCAAGTGTACTTCTACAAATACATCACCAGAGTTACATTTTACAAGAAGATCAAACTTTACTATTTTTGCACAACAACTGCCAACCGCTTCTGTTATTTCGAAGGTAATAACTGTTTGTTTTTTATCAAATCAATACCCAGTGGTATTAGCTTGTGACCATGCTCACTCTGGTATTGTTCGAGAGATTACAACAACTATACTTCAACAAGGCAGCTTTCAGTATACAACATGGGCACACAATTAGAAGATATAACTATACTGTTCATCAACATCATGGGACAGTTCTGCTACATTTGTTCACATAAATGTCAAATGGAGTATATCTATTCACATGAAATGCTACAAAAACTGCTACTTGAATCTGTTCTTGTTTACTACAACATAGTGTTTTATCATCGTCCAGTGGTACTAGAGTGCATGCACGCTCAATCTGGAGATGAGAGAATACTATATTGTCCTCATATTTCAAGTACGTAGTATTGTCTCTTTGTTGCATGTACAGTCCACATTGAAAATCCATTTGAAGATCCACTGAAGAAACACTACTCCTGAAGTAACGCAGGCCCAAAATGCATATGTCCAAACTGATTTGCTTCACAACTAATAGATTATACATACCTATTCCTTTGGATTGCAACAAATGGCGCCGGGTGAGAGCTTTGGAGGTGCTACAAGGAATTGTTTGCAACAGGAATGTGAATTCATTATCGTCGGCAACAATTAGATGTTTCAAATTAATATTTATGTACTTTTCAATTTTCATTATGCTACTGCTACACTGTATTTGGTAGCAATAGCCATTAGCTCTCTTTGTTTCTTTTTTTTCGTTTACTTGCACATTATGTAACACTATCCCACTTTTTTGGGAATTATTATATATATTAGCAATTAGGTGATTAACCTAGTAGTATATTTGCTAAAAACAAAACCCCATGCATGATTTTTACACCATGGTTCTTTCTAGTTCTTACTTTTTACATGCATGCTAGTAGGTGAGGCTATTTTATGCCTCGATAGTATTAGTAAGGTAAAGTTTAGCCCAGTTTGTGTTGCTTTTATCCTATATCTTTGGAAAGAAATCCAAACGGCTATGAGATTATATGCCCTCGTGAGACTTTGCCGGCAGATACACCATGATCATCTACATGAGGCTGGCATCATAAGGCAATGAGAGGTGCAGAGGAGTGACTATATAGCCAAGGCATATAGGCAACACTACTGGTGCTATTGTCCCCCTTATTTTGTACTCTTCTTGTGTGGTTTATTTTTTTATTTTATTTTATTATTAATAATAAAATAGCTACTAGACATGCTTCAGTGTGCATGATCTGAATATAAGTCCATATTCTTGATGCAGCTACAGGGCTTTTGGACTTCTGGAACTAGAGCAATGTTTGAACTGTGGAAGCTCAAGCTCAATTGTTTCTGCACAACAACTGTCAACTGCTACTACCTCAACAAGGCAGCTCTCAGTATACAAAATGTGCACACAATTAGAAGATATCAACACACTGATCAGCCACATCATGGGACTGTTTTAATATTTGTTCACATAAGTCATGCAGTACTGTAGTCGGTATGCATTCATTTTACAGCATCAAAGGTGGAAATCATGCTGCCACGACTGCTTTTATTACAACTGCTACACTTTTGTCCACAAATACAACATGGAGTTACCAACGGGGAAAATCTCTAACTACAAAAGAGGCAAATAACAGAAGATCAAGCTTCACAACTTTTGCACAACAACTGTCAGTTTGCTTATGCTCAACAAGACAGCTTTCAGTATACAATATGAGCACATATTTGGAAGATATAATTAAACATTTCAGCACTACATGGGACTGTTCTGCTACATTTTATCACATAGGTATAAGACTGCACATATGATCAGCCTTGTGGTTTCACATGACATGCTACAAAACTGCTGCTTGAATATTACTACAGTATAGTGATTTATCATTGTCCAGTGATATTAGTGTGCGCGCATGCTTAATCTGGAGATGAGAGAACACTATACTGTCCTCATATTTCAAGCACACAGTACTGTCACTTAGTTCCATTTACATTCCTCATTTAAGATCCATTTGAAGACCCAATGAAGCAACACTGCTGCTGAAGTAATGCAGGCCCAAAATGAAGATGTCCAAACTGATCTGCTTCACAACTAATGGATTATACATACCTATTCCTTTGGATTACAACAAATGGCACCAGGTGAGAGCGTTGGAGGTGCTACAAGGAATTATTTTGCAACTGGAATGTGAATTCATTGTCGTCGGCAACAATTGGATATTTCAAATTAATAGTTGTGTACTTTTCAACTTTTCATTATGCTACTGCTACATTGTATTTGGTAGCAAGAGCCATTAGCTGTCTTTGTTTATGTATTCTCGTTTACTTGAACATTGTGTAACATTATAACATTTTTGGGACCTATTATATATATACAAGCTACTAGTTAAACAACCTATTAGTATATTTTCTAATATAAAAAAAACCCAAACCCCTCCCCTCCTCAAAAAAATCCGAAACGCTCTCAATAAAGGCGACTGGTGTGAACAGTCGCACCGCTGCACAAACATGGAACCACAACCACCGTCCGGTGGTGGGAAGCCACCAGACCAGTCCCAAATGACGCGTCTCTCTATACCACACAAAACCCACCTTGTATCGACCAATTATTCCACTCCAGCAGCTGCAGCGGTAAAAAATGGTGAAGGATCCACTGTAGCACAAAATCACCTGGAGAGCTCAACCATTATCTCTGGCAATTCTGCACCAAACCGAGTGATTCCAAGCCATGAATTATCTCCTACAATACAAATGCTGCATACAGATACAAACATGGACCATTTTGCTGTAGAAAATCACATCCGCCAAAATTTACAGAGCGCCGATGAACACCAGTTGGTCGGAAATGGCGTTCCGGTAGTCCAAGAGTTCCAAACTCAATATCAATCCCTTCAACAAGATGAAGATGCTATGAATACCAACCCAATTCAGCATGGGTATCAACCAATTATGCCAATTCTGGATTCGCGCACCATAGCTGTGTAGAATGGGTATCAACCATGACTTGTGCAGGAGGTCAAAGCAACCAAACCCAATGCGAAATGATACCTGCAGGTAAAGAAAATGTCTCTGAATTACCACAACCACAGCTCATTAAACCAAGCTCCACAACATTGCACCAGGAACAAATTGTAGAAGTCAGTACACCAGGTATCGATTAAATACTGACACCCATCCTAGACCATCTCAGCCAATCCCAATTATAGGAGATCAATCAATAACTCACAAGGAACCTCACGACAAAATCTCATAGCAATCCAGCACAGGAACCGGCTACCTTGAATCTCTAAAAGTTTCAGTTATCTCTCAGTTAATCGATAATGGTAGTGCGACTGAGCAGGTGACATCGTACCAAATGAAGTTGCTCTCGAATGCCTTATTCAATGTTTCTACCATCCTGGCGCAACCAAATGACCATCACAATTCCACAACAATCTCATAGAGAGCCTCAACTCCACATTTAGTAGAGAATGCTGCACCAATTGCCCTGTGTGATCACATTTATGTTAATGGAAATCCTGGCATCATGGCAAAGAGGCAAATACTAGATTCTGCCCAAACCAACCAACCAAAATATCAAACAATGCTCAACTCAAACCCAGGGATACTCCTAAACCCTAAACCCNAATCTGCCACTGCAATTCAAGTTGTTAACAAAGAGGTTCCAACTCCTCCAATTATCGATAATACTCCCAAACCAGTTCATAATGCTCCTCCTAAGGTGTCCAGTAACTTTGATAGACCAAACATAAGTACAAATCATCAAAGAAATAATGCCAACCCTTCTGAACCAATACAAACCAATCAGCCTAATCAGCCTAGTCAAGCCAATGTTGCTAACCTTCCACATAATACTGCACCAAATAAAACCAAAGCGCCTATATCACAACACCCCCCTCCACCACCAATTGTGACCCACTCATATTCCACCAGGATGAGGGCCAGACAAAATGTAGAAATAGCCCCAATAGAATTCACTCCTCCCATCATTACCACCAAACAAGGTAAACCGGTAGTAATTTTCAGAAAACATAACTACATGGTAAAGTTTGCCGACAAATGAAAGTACACTGTGGTTGGCAAGTTTACCAGCACAATGCCAAGGATGGATGTTATTAGAAGGAGCTTCATAAAAAAAAATAGAACTCAGAAGAGGTGTCAAAATAGCTCACTTCAGTCTGGACAAAGCAACACATGTACATCCAAGGCCAAATGATAAGAATTGAAGCATGGAATCCTATCTTCAAACCTAATGAGGATTCACCTATTATCCCTATTTGGATTATGATACTTGAACTATCATAGCATCTATACTACATGAACTCCTCTGTTGTCGTTAATTGGAAAATCATTATTTCTGGACTTAGCCTCCTTTCAAAAAACTAGAGGTAGTGTGGTGAAAGTAAAAATACAGATTGACCTCACCAGAGAAAGACCAACCCATGTTTGGATAGGATATGATGAAGACCAAGATGTAAATGGGGATGGGCAATGGATTGATGTCCAATATGATAACCTCCCAATGTACTGCACCCATTGCAGACACCAAGGTCACTCAATGCAGTCATGTCCAGTTAGGCTGAGGGAATTTGCAATCCAGAGAAAGAAAGAGGAAGAAACAGCTGCAACAACTAACTCACAGGACAATTCATAGCAGAAGCCCACAGAAGAGGCAGAAACAAGTAGAAAACATCAAAATAGTACACTGCAAGAAGCACCAAAAAGAGGAGGGCAAGAACAAAATAACAACAAAAAGGCAGCAGAACACCAACAAGATAAGCACCACCAAAATGATGTAACAGATCTCCCAAAAGATGACTGGCAAACACAAAAGAGGAAAAACTTTAAAGGTAATTCCCAAAGCAAGAAACAACAGCAGATGTATAAACCAAGACAACAGAATAATCAACAAGCTAATGTTGTGAATGAATCTGGGATCCAGAATCATGCTGCCCACTCCCCATCCCCAAACATCAATATTTCTATTAAAGAAGCACAAGGAGGACTGGAGAAATGTCAGGAGAAACATATAGAAGCCAAGGAAGGGGCACCATCAGGGGAGGGGATTCCTCATGTTTTGTATGAGTGTGCTAGTGCACAATTGACTAACCATAGGATGGACTGTCCAACCCCTATTACCACTGCCCTGATCTCTGGCAATAAGCAGCTACACCAAAATGCTGATGAAGATGAACATTGTGAAATGATCAGCTCTGATGAGGAACAATATGTGCAGGAGAATGAGAAAATAATAAGTCGGTTGAAAGGAAAAGCCTATGAACCTGCAGATTTCAGTATCCAGACTCTCAAATCCAAAAATAAGCCTAGCCAAAAGAAGAGGAACTCTATGAGGAAACAAAATGCAGGAATCAACATCAATGAACCTAATGATAACATGCACCCAAATACCACCAACACCCAAGGAGTTGCTGTTAAGTCACAAGTAACACCTACTCCTATTCCTAGAGACCCTGTTATGCTCCAACTCCTAAATATGCCAATGAACCAATCTTGCCAGGAGATACCATCTCAAAATTGTCTGGACTCCCCAAAGTCAACAGCAGCAATAAGATTTGATAAGCAAGTATGGAGTGAGACCTGCGAGGAATCAAACCTCAGGGCAGATGTAATGGAAAGTTTGCCAGCTACAGAGCAGATCCATAAAAATCAAGCAGACAACCCACATCATTCCTTAGCCTCAGACCTTCAAACCACTGATACAGGGCAGAATCAACAAAACAATTACATCACACTGTTAGAGCACATATCCGGGCAGCAGGAAAATCTTTTTACTGCAGAAGCATCAAAAGACACAATGATCTATCACCTACAAATAGAGAGTGATGTGATTACAAAACTGGGGGAACAACAGATGAGGATCACAGTGGTGGAGAAGTCCATGCCAAGTACATGTGCCTCAACTACTAGATCACCAATTCAGATCCAATTAAATGTGCCATTGATACCTCCACACCCGGTATTACATGACATCATTATACACAAGGATTTCCCTATTGAGATTCAACAAACTCTACTTGATGAAGACAATCATCTGGAACATAAGATCTGTTAATACTCAACATACCTTTCAAAGGGTTATCAACATGCAAAAGCAACACAGATTTTGTATTGTATCACTGTTAGAACCTTTCCAGAAACAATGGTTCATACACAATTACAAGATAAGACTGGGAATGGAAACTGCATTATCAAATATCAATGGGAAGATATGGTTATTCATTGATGATGTTGTGGAGTGGGAACTCCTAATAGACATTGACCAGTAACTAACAATCAAAGTTTTGCATCATGGAATTGGCATGCACATCATCATGACTGTGGTATATGCAAAATACTCCTCACTTGAAAGATTAGAGCTATGGGACAATTTATATTACCTGGCATCTGATATGGAACTCCCCTGGCTAGTTGGAGGGGACTTTCATGTAATTCTTAATGAAGAAGAGAAGATTGGAGGACTCCCAGTGTATCCACCTGAGTATGAAGATTTTGCTTTTTGTGTCAACTCTTGTGAATTATTTGATACTGGACACACAGGCAGTCCCTTCACATGGTGGAATGGTAGAGCTAATGAAGAATGCATTTTCAAGAGATTAGACACAATTTTTGTCAACCAACAATTCAACTTATTATTCCCAAGGATTAATGTTGAACATCTCATAAGGACTGGGTATGACCATGCACCTTTGCTAATGACATGTGGGGAAGATGCTGCTCACTTTATCAAACCTTTCAGGTTTCTCAATTTCTGGACTACACATGAATCCTTCAATGAAGTAGTGAAACAAAACTCAATTGCAGACTTTGTGGGTGACCCTTTCCTTATGTTCAAGCAAAAAATGAAAAGACTAAAAGAAGCACTATCCCATTGGAGTAAGATCACCTTTGGGATATTTTCAAGCAACTGACAATTAGAGAGGATATTGTCAGGATAAAGGAGATGCTTTTTGAGGAAGAACCAACTACCGAGAACAGAATTGTACTACAACAGGCACAAGTTACACTAAAGAGGTACTTGAGCTTTGAAGTGCAATATTGGAAACAAAAGGAAAGCATGAAATGGTTTGCTGAAGGAGATAGAAATACCACTTTCTTCCACAATCATGTTAATGGAAAGAGACAAAAATTGCAACTCAAAAGGATTCAGAATGCCAATGGAGATTGGCATGATGACCAAAAGGGTATTGGTAATGCTGCAACTACATTCTTTCAGGCGCAATTCACAGAGGAAGGACAACTCACCAACATTGAACTCCAAGAACTCATAATGGCCATATCGGGTCCTGAAAGCTGTCTTAAGAATATTTGAATCCCGAATCTTGAGCTGGTGATAATCGGACCTCAAATCAATCTTGGAGAACACCCTCGCTCCCTGAAACTGGTCGAATAAATCATCAATACGAGGCAAATGATACTTGTTCTTGACTGTGACTTTGTTCAACTACCTGTAATCAATACACATTCTCATGGAAACATCCTTCTTTTTCACATATAGAACTAGTGCACCCCAAGGTGACACACTAGGCCGAATAAACCCCTTATCAAGGAGTTCCTGAAGTTGTTCTTTCAATTACTTCAACTCCGCCGGTGCCATATGATACAGTGGAATAGAAATCGGCTGAGTGCCCGGTACCAAATCAATAACAAAGTCAATATCCCTGTCAGGCGGCATGCCCGACAGGTCTGCAGGAAATACATCCGAAAAATCACATACCACCGGAACAGAATCAATGACAGAAGTCTCTACACTAACATCCCTCGCAAAATCCAAATAAGATAGGCAACCCTTCTCAACCATACGCTAAGCCTTCAAATATGAAATCACCCTACTTGCAATAGATGAACAAAATGGTATCAGAGCTATAGATTAAAAAAAATGAACAAAGAAGAATTTGCAATAGATGAAAAAACCTATGAAAACCAAGACGGATTA